GCAAAACAACAACGGTTATTTTCTATTCTCTAATTTCCACCATTTGAAATACTTTAATTTCTTGTAAAATCAGAACAAGATAGAATTTCAGAAAATGTGAATGCATGTTTCCCTGCTTGCCTTTTTCTACAAGGCACAGTGAGTCAGGCATTATCATGCTTTTCCAGATTGTTTGGCAGTGAAGTACCTAGTTCATGAACAAAATTACTGTCACCAGCTGGGGAACAAATAACAGCCCTTTCTCTCCCCTGTCACTCTGATGGGTCGTGTCAGTTTGAAGATAGAAAGTACCATGCTCTTGCTCTGGAGCAGGCAGGTGAGGTACCAGGCAAGAACAGCCAGATTGCTAAATACCACAGGTTTATGACAATCTTTTAAATTTGCTCCTAGATTTCTCACCTTATGACCTCATTTGATTTTAGCAGAATCTTACAAGATAAATCATGACCAGTTTTGAATGATTTTTGCGTCCTTTATATGTGAAATGTATACTGAGGCAGAGAGATCTTCAGTTCTGATTATTGCATTATTATTTTAAAGAATTACCAGTAATAGCATGATGTGGAAGAAATAGCAAGTGATTTCTGGCTTACTGCAGTCTGCAGGGGTTTCCCCATTGACACCTGCAGGACCAGGCTTCTGTCTCTAAATTATATGGGTTAGAAGCCTTCAGAGGCAACGTGGTAGTTGAGTTCAATCACACTGTCAGTGGCTGTAAATGGCTGATGAAAACGCAGTTTAGTTTTATGGATGGGAGTTCATAGTATTAATTTTCTATAGCATTTTCTCCTTTTCCTTTTGTACATCTATGGAAGATTTGGAGACAGGCTTGTTTGTAGGAGGACTCTGCAGTGAGGACTCTGGGGCCACTGGAGCATAGCTCTGGGCACTGGGCTAATGAATTACATATCATTGTCTCAAATTCATCTTGTTCCTTTTACAAAGAAACGTTAACATATAGTGCATCCAGTTAGTACAATCTGTTCAAGCTTCTGCCTTGTGGGCCCTATAGGAATTTGCTTTTGAAGCACAAACTAAAGTTGGTATGGGAGAAGATGTTTTGCTCTCTCAGTTGGCCCTCAATTCACTCCACCTCTTCAGCAGCATTCCTAGAGCTCCCTTCATGTGCAATGAGCTGTTAACCTTCATGTTCTCATTAAAGACTGGATTCTTCTGGGTTGTGGTTTGACTAATGATTCCCCATCCCTGCAAGGGAACTGGAGCTGTTTGTTTTCCTGGTTAGCAGGAGAACATTGCCCACTTCAGTGCTGCCTCAATTGCTCAGAGCAAGGGGGTTCTGCAGTCCCATAGCTCAGTGGTTTCTGGAATCATCTTTTCTGTAGGGGTGGATTTGTGGCAGTTGTTAATTCCATGAGCAATACCATCACCCACAGCTGATAAAGGCCTAGGAGATGCTGTGGCAGTGACAGCAGCACTGAAATTCCTGTCTGCCCCTTGCTAAGAGATCCCATGCTGCGAGTGTGGAAGGCGGCACTGACGCGTCTGGTTCTTGCTGTCCTCTGCAGGCTTCTGCCCAGAGACTCAGCCGGGAGAAACTCCAGCAGCAGCAACAGCACAGGTGGATGGAACAGACTTAGCCTCTCCAATGTCTCCTCGGACTAGCAAGAGCCGCATGTCCATGAAACTGCGCCGCTCCTCTGGCTCAGCCAACAAGTCCTAAGTGGCAAGATGCCTGCAGCTTTCTAGTGAAGAGCACTGGCCACCCTTCCCGCAGCGACTCACCGCGTTTTGGGTTTTCTTACTGCTCACGCTGTTCATTCAAGGATAATGTCTCTCATGTGTGTGCACCCATGCCCTGCATACTCCTTTTCTGTATGTTTATTTTAAACAGTGACACTGGAATTTTACTTTAATAATTTTGCTTTTTTTTTTTTTATCAAACTCCAGTCTGCTGGTTTTTTTTCTCTGCAGTGCAGTTTGTACCCTGCACCTTTTACCTACTTGGATGATTATGGATGATTAACTTTGGGTTTTAACTCTGGTTGATCTTGAGTCAACATGGAAATGGAGACTGCAGTTGGATTACACTATATTTATTGTGCCCCATTGCAATTTTCTCTGTAACAAAGAAAGAAGTATGTACAATTTGAAAATGAATGTACAATTTTAAATTGAAGTTGCATTTGTAAAGTCTTTGTCAAATGTCACAATGTTAATGCACAAGATGTGTACAGATTATTTATGTTGAGAATAAAATAGTTCAATGGCATTTCAAGTATCACAGAATCCAAATGAAATAATTTGCTCATAGCACCCTTTCATCATAAAGCGATGTATCGTTTCATAATTCTGCAGATAATCTATGCCAGAAAAAAAAAAATCACTGTCTTGAAATTCTATTTATGCTCGGCTTCCAAATATTTTTATAATATTTGCTTTTCCAGTGGTGTCAATAGTAAATGCCATTGAGTTTCATGAGTTTTAGCCATTATCATTATGCTGTGTCATCTAGATGTATATTCTTTTTTCTTACATTAAAAAAAAAAAAAAACAACAAACCAAACAAACACTTTCCTGATAGCAATTCATTGCTGTGATGATGAGTACTAGGAGAGAAAAGGGAACATGCTCCGGGAGCCTGGCCTGAAATGCTAATAATTTAATAATTTCAGCCTTGTGAGCGCAGATTAGTACACGAGTTCCACCCACCCAGAGGTATTTTCCTACAGAAAATTAAACGCTCACATTTTGAGTCTAGTAAACAACAAAATGCTGTTAACAAAATGTAGCATGGCATCGGTACTAACTGCATGTGTAAATATATGGGCAACAATAAAAAAAGAAATTATGTATTGTCATTCATGTAGTATCTACAAATTTGTAATGGTTGAAGAGAAGACATGCTATTTAATAATCCAATAAAATTATTCTTACCACCTTTTGTATATTAGTTATTCACCTCACTGATTAGATTCTTAGTCCAATTTATAGAAGAATTGTGTATTACATGCACATGGAGCAGTTAAATGCAATACACAGCTTAGTTTTCCTTTGTATTAAAAAGTACACACAAGTTCTCAAGAATGCCCCAATGCATCCCTGCATCTAGTAAATACATTGCATGTAGCTCTGCAGGTAATACAAAGCATAGGCTGTTCCCTGTGGCAGGCTGGTCGTTCAAGTGCTAATTGTAGGAGCAGTTAATAATCATCACATTTGCATGGTCTGGAGCCCGTCATCTTTGACTACACAAGGAGAGAAAGAGGAACCATGATTTGAAAAAACAAAAAACTAGTGGCTTTCTCCAGGGGCAAACTCAATTGCATAAACAGGCATTTTTACCTAAGTCTCTGTTGCCAACAAATGACAGAAAAATGCACAACTTAAATTAACATGCTTTATTTTTGGCATATTAGTGAGTTGCAAGTTTAGCCTCCTTTGCTGGAAAGCAAATCTTGGCCGCATTAGGTTATATTGTATTAATTCATTTGTCCAGGTTCTGGAACTAAAATGACAAAAGTCCGTGAAGCACATTTAACATAAAGCACTTATCGCTTGCTTGCAGCCTTTGGGCATGATACATCTTTTGTTGTGTGTAGCAAAATATAAAACTACAGAAATAATTGCTTTAGAGATGCTAATCGAGAGATTGAAATATTTTACGTGCTCATGTCAGAGAGAGTGTTAGAACAAAGACTACGACTGGGATCAATTTGGTTCTTCACAAGTCACCAGCTGACCCACTTTGCCCTGCTGAATTCAAGAAAGGCATGAGCTTTCTTTTAAATCTTTTATTGAATTATCTTGCCCTTATTTTTAGCCTCATCTGCTATCACATTTAGAAACGAGCACTCATGGAAAAAATAAATAAGTAAATAAATAAACAAACAAATACTGGCTGAAGTGTCAGTAGCTGGTAAATTCAACAGCATTTCAAAGCATTTGGCCAGCGCACTGTCAAAGCCAGGGAACACACACCGCGGGTTGCTTTGCTAAAGGTAGGTGTCGTTAGGGAGAAGGAAGGTAGCCTATCACCTGCGCTTTAGCAACATGTCCAAAGACTGCTTCAAGTCCTAATTTCAGCTGTTCACAAGACTCGGAGGAGCTCACATCAAAAGCGCAGCTCACAGGGGAGAGAGGTCGGAGGCCGCCTGAAGAGGCGAGGCGCGCACGGCGCTTTCCGCCTGCCTGCGATGCCGGGCCGGCAGGGCCGCCCGCTGCCCACCAGCCTGGCGGGGCCGAACTGCCCGTGCGGCGGCTGTCCGTGCCGCACCAACAAACGACTGACGGAGGGGAGCAGCTTTTGGAAGGGGCAGCTGCCAGAGACGGGTGTTTTGCCTACCACACTGTTGCTAGAGGACAGAGACACAGAGTAAGCAGGAGATGCGTACTTAGCTACAGAAGATCAACACCTCGTATTTCAATTAAGCAGACAGCACGATTAATTTCCCATACGTTTTGCTAGCTATTATGTGACTTGACACTGACTTAATATGAACATTTACCTTCTCAGCTACCTTAGTACAGAGTACACCACGAATGTTGAAGCTCGGTGGCTAAGGCTATTAAAACAAGGTCACTAGCTCAGGCTCCTTTTCTCACGAAAAATAATTCCTCTCTTTAGATACCCTATATACAGCCGTACTTCTCTCCGTCGCTACGGAAGATGTACTGGCGGTGGGCCGCCACCCGACGCCTCGGCACTGCCCGCCTCCCGGCAGATGCTGGCGGGGCTTCTCGCCTGTTGCCGTGCCGGCGGCCGTCCCCCGTCCCCGGCCGCCCCGATGGCTGGGGAGCTGCGCGGCGCTCCCTGCACTGCGGGGCTCGGCGTGAGCGCTGCCGGCAGTGCGGCCCGTGGGCCGAACACGCCGCCGTGCCGGCGCGGGCGTGCCTCGCTAGCCACCGGCCGGGAGTCACCGAGCGGCTCCGCCGACGTCGTAGCCCTGAGAGCCGCGACTTTCCATAGGAATTACAGCGTGGCCATGGCTCGCTCGGCTAGCCCGGGCTCTCGGAGCAGTCCCACCGGGGCGGCCGCGGGCCTAGCAGCCCGGCCGGACGGGCACCTGGAGCAGCAGGACCTGCCTGCTCTCCGGCGGGTGGCACTTGCTGGCGTGCCGCGCCAGCCCGGGCGCGCTGAAGAAGGTGGCGGGGCAGTGTTTGCAGGGGAAGCCCTGCCGCTCGCCGCCCGCCGCGCCGCTCTCGGGGACCCCGGCGGGCGGCGGCGGCGGCAGCAGCAGCTCCTCCCGCACGGCGTGCCACAGCCGGTGCTTGTCCCTGATGTCCGCCGAGGGGAAGCGGGCGCCGCAGAGGTGGCAGGCGAAGGTGAGGGGCCCTCGCTCCGGCGGGCCGAAGGCGGCAGGCCGCGCTGCCCCGTGGGTGCCCAGGTGCTTGCGGAGGTAAGCCTGCCGCCGGAACCGCTTTTGGCAGCAGGGGCAGGCGAACGCCTCCCCGCCGGGGCCGCCGCCCGGACCGGGAGCGCCGCCGTGAGCTGGGCCGGGACTGGAGCCGAGGGCGGCCGGGGCGCCGCCGGCGCTGTCCGTGCCGCCGCGGTGCTGACGGGGCCCCGGCGGTGGCTGGGGCGCGGCGGGGCCGCGGGGCCGCCGCTCGGGGCTGTTCTCCTTGCCCGGCGGGGCTGAGGCGGCGCCTTCGGGGCTGGGGCCGGGACGCGGCTTGTGCCAGCGGCGGTGCGAGGCCAGGTTGGCGGGACAACTGAAGATCTTGTGGCACTCGGGGCAGCGGTACTCGACGCGCACGATGCGGGAGCAGCGGTGCTGGGCCAGCGCCAGCGGGTCCGCGTACTGCTCTTTGCACAGCTGGCAGATGAACTCGCCCAGCGGCGTGCGCCCCGCCGGCGGCCCCGGCCGGCCCTCGGGCCCCTCCTCTTTGATGCGCAGCCCCAGCACGGGCGAAGTGGTCACCTCGTCGGCGAAGCTCAGCTTCCGCGTGGCCTTGCCCTTCTTGGCCGGCGCCTTGGCCCGAGACGGCCGCTTCAGCGCGGGCACCGACGGCAGCGGCGGGGCCGGCAGCGGCGTGCGCGGCTGCAGCAGCAGCTTCTCGGCGGGCGGGAAGGACGCGGCCAGGGGGAAGGACTCGGCGGAGGCGGGGGAGCTGAGGCACCGCTCGAAGAGAGCCGCCCGCGGCCCCGCCGCGCTGCACGGCCCCGTCGCCCCCCAGGCGGCCGGAGCCTCCGGCGGGGTGAGCCCGGGGCCGCCGCAGCCGCCGCCGGGGGGCCACGTCGCGGGACAAGCGGCGACGGCTCCCTCCTCCTCCTCGCCCTTCTCCTCCTCCGCTCCCTGTCTAGCGGCGGGGCTGTCCCCGCCGGCGGGCGGCAGCGGGCCGGGGCTCCCGCCGCCGGGCGGGCGCGCTCGGGCTGCGGGGACGGGCGCGGTGTCTCGGGGAGCGCGCCCCGGCTCCCTGCGAGACTGAGAGAGGCGTGGGGGGGGGAATGGCTCCGAGATGGGAGAGACCCCGAGCTGGGTCACGGCGCTGCCGCCTCGGCCGAGAGGCCGGACGGGGCTCGAGCAGGAGCGTCTGTCGTGGGTGTTCGTGCGGGTGCCTTCATCCGCTGCCGGGGCCGCACGGACAGCCCCGCACATCCTGCTGAAGCGAGCCAGAGCTGGGAACTGGCCCCGTTCTTCTGCACAGCCACATCAGGAGTTTTCCCAGAAGTAGCCAGAAAGCTCCGGTATTGCGGTGAGCTCCCAGTGCAAGAGCGGGGCTGCCGGGCTGCCACCGCCGCGTAAAATGCTAAATCACGGCTCTGCGTAGTGGCCATGACTGGTCCCTTGGCAGCCCCACCGGGCAGCCTCCCGAGTCCTGGGGAGGCAAGGCTGAGGTGTGGTACAGCAAACTGCAAAAGCGCCCGAACCTTCCCCCATCCCGCCCCGATGCAACTCCCGGCCCGTTCGCGGGTGCCGTGAGCCTGGTGGCAGCTGGTGCGCCCCTGGAGCAAGGCAGGAGTCGTGTTTGCTGAAGCACTAGTCGCCTTTTTGGGGGAATCAAGCGCACTGGCAGCGGGGTCTCAGCAGCCCCTCCGGCCCCACCGCGCGGTGCCAGCATCTCGCGTTGGACCGCCCATGCCCTCGAGCCTGGCTTTGGCGGCAGGACGGTGCTGTCCCAGCCAGACCTGCTGCCCGCAGTATACACGAGATGGCGTGCCATTGGAAATGACCGCGGCTCTCCCCCTGACCAGGGACAGACAGCCCTTAGCAGGGTAGGACTCACTCTGCTGGAAGCATCGCCTAGCAGGAGGAAGCAGAGAGCACCAGGAGAAAAGGAGAAATAGCACCTCTGGTTCGAGGGGCTTTCCAGAAGTGGCAGAAAGATGTGAAGCCTTCATGCAAAACGAGAATTCCTCCCACTTGCTCAAAACACTCTCTCAAACCACTTCTCTGTGTGCTTCAATTATATTTGCTTAGCAAAGTCTTAATCATGTTTTACATTTCTCTCCTCTCCCATTTTCCTCCATTTTCATGGCTGTACTGAATCTCAGATTAGATTATATACTCCACAGGCTAGAGATCAGCCTTTGTTAGTACGAACCACTGTCACTGGGACCAATGAACCATGCTTTCATGCAGTTAGGTCACTCCACTGACTGGCTGCTTGATTTTTACCCAGAATTTTTTTACTCTTGTAGCTGGACTTCCCATCTACATTTCTCACTGAATAACTGGATCTCTGGTTACAGATCCACTGCTCCTCCAAGCAACATGTAAATAGTTCTTTCAGTTTCCCCTTGTAAACAATATTCCCATTAACGCTTCATTTGCTTTTGTCACATTGCAAAAATAGTCTGTGGTAGGAATGTCCAGTTCTGGAATGTCCAGTTCAGTTTCCTGTCCTAAGAGCGGAGGAATCCAACAATGCCTCTTCCAGCACAGGAGTAGCTGGAGGTAGAGTACCAGTTGGAAAGCACATGTATTGAGTGATTACTGAAACTCCAAACATTTTTCCAGTAAAAGCTGCAGATTGGAGTTGCATCAGGAAATTTCTCCAGGCCCCCAGTGTCATCATCTGACATGGCCCAGACATCATGGCAAGGCCTGGGGAGTAACCTGCAGTCACAGGTGTGGAGTAGCTGCTCCATCTCCCTGGCTGATGTCCTGCCTATGGTGCTTCTTGGCTCTTCCCTGTGACCTGGTGCCTGTCTGTGCCTCCCCCTTGCTCACAGTGCCCTCCAGCACAGCCCTCTTGTAGCTTTCTACACTTGCCTCCAGTTTATGATCAGTTTTAAGGTGGGACCCAAAACTGTAGAACCCATCACTTCACCTCGCTCTTGCTGCAGCAGGTGCCAATACCCACAGATATCTATCTGACAAATGCACCGGCAAAATTGCTTGGGGGTTCAAGCTGGTTCAGCCACCTTGTGACTTATTTCTCTCAATAAATATGCTGTTTTTCCTAGGCTGTGTCTGCCCCAGTACAAACTCCCAGTGCCCTGGCTCCCACTTGGAAGGGTCACAATTATTCTGTGATTACAGATTATTTCCCCTCCCACATTTACAAGAGAAGGTAACCGTAGTGACTGGCATTGCACCCAACTCTCACAGCTTCTAAGCTTTCCAAACTGTTATATGGGTTTATCTTCTTGCCATCCTCCTTTACTCCTACCAAAAACTTTATGGTTACAAAATTCAGAAAATTTATAATAGTAGCTAACAGTGTTGTGGACACACCTCTAAATCCTCTGTAAATTTGCTGGATTTTTATTTTTTCACTGTCTTATTATATTTCATTAGTCCCGTCACCTGGCTGAGAGTGCAGCACTACACCCTCCTGAACACACTACTACAGGGAAATTTTATTTAAGGTCAAAGCTTTTCTAAGCAAGCAGCTGAATGATGTTATTGCTCCTGTCCTTACACTGTGTTCCCTACAGTCTGCTAAAATCAGGTTGGCCTTGATTAAACACGTTGGCTGCTTACACCAGAGTCATCCTTATATCATCTGAGATTAACCAAAGGGTTAATCCCACAGTAAATAGGAAATCAAACTTCTACTGGGAAAATGCAGTAGCTGGTGGGGAACTGGCAGGGTGAGAACAAGAGGAACTAGTTCCTTGTCTTGCATCCTTTGCTTCCTCAGTCCATTCCCTCCTCCCTGGTTGAGGATAAATACTGTTGTGCTAGGGAATCGAAACAAGAGTAGTACAGCATTGCTCTGCCTCCCTTTTTGCCAAAGTTTCTCATTTTATATGGGGGGAATTTTAGCCTTGTTCATAACTGTGCTGCTAACATAAGCCTGAGGGACCCATTCAAGCCTTGCCAGGATTCAGCAATCAGATTCAGTGATGGCTGGGCCAACACCTTTGGGACCTTCCAAAGTGAGAACAATCTTCAGATTCCTCTAGACACCTTTCCCTGTTTCTGCCTTCTTTTAGGGACATGGTTTAGTGGTGGGCTTGTCTGTGCTGGGTTAATGGTTGAACTCTTAAAGGTCTTTTTCAATATGATCAATTCCATGATTATGTGACTCTGGAGGATGCTCCTCTGATTGCCCAGGGTGCTCCAGAGTTTGGCACTAGAAGCTTGTCATCCAGCTCCTTGTACATCCCAGCTGTCTGGACACTCTCATCTCTGGCTGTGCAGTAGGGGCAGCACTGCTTTCAGCCCCAGCCGTGTCTCCAGCAGCTCCAGGACATCTGGAAACCTGTGCAGACACTGAAGAAGAGGCCTACACCTCCATGGTTCACAAATAAAACATTGTCAAGCAAGCGGGCAGCTGTATTTATATTTCTGAACAGTCTTGGGGCATAAACAGCAAGAGGAATGTATGACAGAAATGCCAGCTGGCAGAGAGAAGGTCTTAAGTGAGGTCTGGTTCCCAGAGAAAACCCTAAAAACTCTTCTGGGGGCTGAGGGGACAGAAAGAAAAAGAGAAATTCCTTTTGCCACTCAGTAAAAGAAAAAATAACCACAACTTTTAAAAAAATAGGAGTTAAAAATAAAATAGAGAACAACTATAAGCAAAGGATTAAAGAACCCTTCTCTCCTTCATGTTTCCCCTCCCCACCACAAAAAAAAAATTGTTGTGGTTGAGTTTTTTTATATTGCAGGATTTCAAATAAAGTTGACTTTTAAATCTTGCCCTGACATCTGGTTTGTAATTAATGGAGCAGTAAATAGGAGGGAGACAGAAGCTGCCTCAGAAGCCTGTCCTTGATACATGACTCTCCAGCAGTACTGCTAGATGAGCGATACCACCCCCAGGCTCCAGCACTTAAACAAAATGCAGGCTGGTTTTGGTGGCAACACAAACCATTTCATCTTCCCCCTAGAACAGGGCTGCCAATTATCCTGCTGCAGTTGGGGATTTGATGCTGGTGACAGACATTGAAGGAAATATCTGCATTATGAGGATATGGATTGTCTCATATAACTGACCTTGCTAGTATCTTAATTGTGTTTTGTTTTACCTGAGGACAATGTTCTTCAAGAGGAAAATGATGATAACAGCTGCTATGTTTTCTTCATTGACCAAATATTAACAAAATCTTTCTGTGAGGGAAGGTAGAAAACACTGTTCTGTGGAGGTACTTGGGTTAGAGAGATTTGAAGGGTTTTGAAGACACTATGAAAACATTTAACCTTCCTCCTTTCCCACAAATGAAGTGATGCTGTGAACTGGTCCCATCACTTCACCCGTCCCTAAGGTGGTACTGGTAGGACAGTGGTGCCATGGCTCCTGTCCCTGCTCCATAAGTGAGCAACTGCATAAGAGCCAAAGGAGCCATCTCATGTTTTGGTTCTTCCCCACCTCCATCTGCATCAGCCCGTTGCAGGGAAACTAGGTCCTCTCCAGGGAGCAGACTGATGTTCCCAAACTTATAAAAGTTATAGGAGACTTGATGGGACCATTATGACTTCATTACAGATTTCAGCTGGATTTCAGCTTGTACCCCACAGGCTGAAGCCATTTGCCATTGGCCAAATTTGCCTGCTGGAGTTATTTATTGGTGTCACCATGTCATAAATAGGAAGATTTGGCTTCCTTTGGCATGAGATTCTCATCAGTCTGTTCCCTACAAGCATCACTATATGTTGCAGCTCACTGAATAAAAGATGTCCTAACACAGAAGGCCCTGGTTATCAGTTACATGGATCTCAGCAGTGGCTTCAGGGAGGCTGAGTCCCAGCTGGGCGCAGTGCAGGTGTGTGTGCAGACAGGGGGGTGGGTCTGTGTGCAAAGAGAGCAACAACTGAAGAGACCAGAAGACAAGGCAGCAGGAGAGTGGGAGAAATGAAGTGTCTGAAAGTCCATGCCTGCCTCCAGTAAAGTTTAGGCAGGACAGAGAAACATGCTGGTTGCCTAATTTCCCAAAAATTAGGCTCAGTCTAGGAGGCTTTCAGAGAGCAGACATCAGGAGCAGACAAATCACAGCCACAAATACTTGGTTCTGTTATGGTCACACTTCATCCTGCTCTTGTGCTGGCACTGCAGCATATTCAGTTCTGCAGGGATGTGGTGCAGGAAGCTGAGCCCACAGGGAAATATTTACATTTTTTTCTTTTCCCCCCAGTCCCAATAATTCTTTCATGCCCCTGTTCTAAGGCCACCTCATTCAATAAAATTCCTCTGACTCAGAGGTGCAACA